TTCTGCAAGAGTTCTGTCCTCTGGCTAAGGAGCCTTGCTCGAGGGAATACATGTAGGACAGCACTTACTAATCATACTTACATAAATTTAACACTTACCACAAATCGGCTTTGACCTTCTGGCACACCAGAATGCCGCCATTTACGGAGTAAAGTATCTGATGGTCCATTCAGTTTTTTCGAAATTATTTTTTTAGCGCAATTGTACAAGCCTTTTCGTACATAACTGCTGCGGAACACAGCTATAACAAAGGCTGCAAAACAGCAGGCTTCTTCGATGTGTCACATCAAAAATAAACACGCAAAAGCGATAGGCTGCTTGTGTTAAACATGATATGACTCACACGATAGGCAGTCATGGAGACAAAGTCAAGTTTACTTTGCAGCATGAATACTTTTGAAGGCTTGATGGATATGTGCATGGAGACGAAATGATGAATATTAACGAACCTCGCCCTCAGGATAGTGGATGGACTGGAGGGATTGGGTGAGTTTGTTTCTGTGCACTTGTGCAGATGTAGACCACAAACATTTTTTAATCTTCGGACGTTTATATTTCTTTTCATGCGTTAAATGACAAAGCACATCTGACTGGGAAAACAGAGCCTGCTTATGTTTCTTAATCTGATCTATTTTGGCGGACCTACTACAATGACGTCAGGCCGTGTGTACACTCTGATTGTGTTGCATCATAATCGTAACACAAAAAAATGAATCCTTTGCATTCTACCGTGGTGGAGTGAACATCATCTTTGGTGGCAACGAGGTAGCGTGAATATAAGTTGAATGTAATGAAGATTCACTGTCTGTTGCCGTTCGTTTGAAAGTTAAAAAGTGTTTACGGGCCTGCGCGACTCCTGTCATTCCCCTATGACGAATTCCAATCCTCACGTGACATGTAGAAAAGTGAGTAATTTTGCGTGTTAGTCAAGACAGGAATTTTAAGTACGAAAAATGACATTGGCCTATCAAAACAGTTTCATTCAATGAATCCATTGGAACCTCAGTAAAACAGCAGACCCCGAAAAACTGCAAAAGTATTCTATCTCACCCCTACGACTCAGAACAGATATAAAAAAAATTCTGACAAAATCGTACAATTTCTGCTGTTCGTGGTTTTCACTCGTCTTCATAGCAGTCCAAAAGTGTAGGATTTTCACTCAAACAGTGAACAACATCAAAGATATGCTTTATGAACCACTGCTTCCCTTGGGGTCATCTTTCGTAATACATTAACATTGTACTTTTTACTTTGATGATGACTAAATTCAGTCGAAATCGTTTGATAGTATTTTGTTAAACGCCTTGGTCAGAATTTTTTATAAATTTTTTTTTAATATAAACGAATTATGTCATGTTAATTTACAAATGATAGCCTACCTGAAATAATTCACGGCCGTGAAATACACGTTTAGTCGAATTTATATTTGTAATGATGAGATCGCGTTTATTCACCAGGAAATAACGATCGAGATTTTGTTACTAATTGTAAACTCCCGCCCAAGGCTTCTCGGTTTTAAAAATTGCAGTATTTTCATTACATAAACTAGCCCTCTAAAATTAGATCGATTTTTGGTCGATGAATAGCCTGCTCAGTGCACGGTGGTTGATAGATAAAAGATATTCAATCAGGGGAATCCCCTACCTTAATTTCAAGTGCAGTTTTACCATTGTTATGAAGACTTCGATAATATCCATTGGATTTTTAATTGTGTTAATTCCAGTCACACAAAACCTTTCGATAAACAAAAACTGTCGATATTTCGACCGATGAAGGCGTAAAAAAAATCAACGAAACAAATAAGATAGAAACGACAAAGACAAATCTAGAGTCTGAACCTGTCGTCAAATGGAAGGAGCTGATCAAAATTTTTTTGCGCCTAATTTATTAAAATTAAACGAGATTGCTTGTGTAACTTCATATGTATTTAACGAGTGAGTAAGAGCCCCGGGATCATGCGCTTAGTCGGAACATCGTGACCGAGACCCAAATAATATTTTCTAGTCCGGCCAAACCAAACCAAATTTAGTCAATCCTTATTACATCATATGACTACTAAGGGTTACAAATTTTGAACAATTTTGTTTCAACTTAGACTGGACGCGACAAATAAGCACGAACGGACAACCAATGAAAAGATACTATCCTGTAATAACTTTTTCCTTTATTATTTTGAGTTAGAACAAGAGAGTCATCAAGACGCCGCAGAAGACGTGGATTAAAAATAAATTCTACTCTTAGCTAAAATTTCCAAATGGCTGCTTGTGTTTACCGACTCCGGCTTACGAAGCCACACCTCACTAGAGCATAACGTATGTGAGCAGCGTCGAGTTCCAAATGGAAATTAAGATAATTTGCCATTGCAGTTTCCGTTCTCAGACGACGCAAATTTTGCTTAGGGTTTCACTGATGTTCTGCAGAAGATGACCAAAATCTGAAAACACACGTGCTGAGCTATTGTTCCGCCCATTAGATCTTTTGTTTTGACGGGTGCGTTACCTTCGCTGCCGTGGTTTGCTTACGCCCCTACTAACGCCTAGACAACCTTAGCAGAGTCACACAATCAGAGTAGGACCTGATGATGACTTCTGTTACGGTTGTCGAAACGTTAATACCAACCACACCTATTCTAGGGACTACTCTCAGCCGGACTATCAGACTACGAGAACTCAGTCAAGAGATGATATATAATTTATGCTCTCAGACTAAAAGAGAACCAACGCGCTCAAAAGAAACCAAAATAAAAAAAAATACCAAAAAAATAAATTAAAAAAAAAGGAGATTTCGTGAGGATGACGTCTCGGTGTAGAATGCTCGAGATTACAATCATCTATTCAGACAGGATCCTCACCGCTTCGAAGGAAGAAAAGAGGAGCACGGGAAAGACGTTGTCATTCACTGTATAGAGGATAACGGCAAATTGGACAGCTACGGCTGTAAATTAAATGAAAAAGTATGTTAGACTGACTTAAATTAGTCTTGTTTGAATTGGTTGTGGAAAGGAAATATTCAAGCCGAGATCACTGTCGAAATCACGAGTTTGATTAAAAGATTCTGCAAAGCTCACTCACGGCCTAATATTCCTGTGGATCCAAACATTATCCAAGGCTGCATGGAAAGAAAACTTCTCTTTCAACTGTCTCGAGACCAAAACTGAAACTATCACGGCCGGTCAGTAAATAACATGACAAGGGCCTTATGAAAGATTTAATCTAAACACACACGTATCGGCTCATTGAAGGAAATTCCGGTCACAAAATTCACGATGAGTTTTGGTTCAGCCGGTTTTGAATGGTTGAGAGGGTGGCAAAAGTTTTCTAAACCAAACAAGACCGCAGTTCTTTATACAGACAGTTTCAGCTTTTGCATCAGCACACTCTCTGTGAACCTTGTGTGAACATGGCAGGATAAGACAACCACCGAATGAGTCCTGAAAAAAAAAGTTTGAAACACGGGCATCAAGGGAAACGAAAACTTACAAATGTTTGAATTACACTCCAAAAGAATCCAGAGTAAACGGCACTTCTACAGCACCAGAACATAAACATTGACCTAAAGGTCTGAGTTTTTAGACAGAACGTAACAAATAACGGAACATTTCACAGCGATATAATAAAGTGTAAACGATACAGCTGAAGACGAAATTTACAAACACTAACAACTATGATTAACAAGTGCTCACGACAAACACGAAACACAATGAAACGAACAAAACAAAAAGAACCCCTTCTCTTCAAGTTTTGTCGTAACACAGGGTTAGTCATTACCTCCAAACAGATACAGCACTCATCATGCCCTGAATTCGGTCTACACCTATACCTCCCTTCCAGCCCCTTGTCTAGACAGACGTTGCACACATCACAGTGGAAGGAGTGGTCCTTATGGATGCTAAAAGAAAATAGGAACGTCACTTCGCAGGTCAACCACTCGTTGAGCAAATAAATTTCTAACTCATACTCATAAACTTTGTATTTCTACTCGAATCGGCTGAGAAACCTATTGAAAGACAACTTGATGCGCGATGAGAAACCAGAACTCGTAACCATGGTTACTCGCGTATATTTTGAAGACGATTCTGCTGGAGCAAATGAGAAAGAAACTACTGGCAGTAGATAGTTTTATGTGCGTATATATCAAGGTTTCTCTATCTTTTTAAAGTCTGCTCCCGCCTTTAAGTTAGCGTCAATATTCTTCATTCCCACGCTAACACTTGGTAGTGAAACAGGCCAATAACTCTCTGACCCTTATTCTTTAGGAAAACAAACAAACAATCAACACGACAGGGAAAATAAATTGTCATGAATGTTGTTAACTTACCGGCAGATATCGCACTTAGTGTAGTGGAAAGGACTCGTGTCTTTACCACTGAAATGTTTGCATATTGAGCAAAAATATGCAGAGAACGTTGTCTTACATCTAGTACAAGTTTGTGCGTCCTGGTTGATCTTGAAAAATTTAATAATCGGAATTAACAGAACTTACAAGTAAAATAACTCATCTGCAACTTGAAACTTCGAAGCCATGAAATGTATACATACCTCTTGCTTATGTCCACAAACCGAGCACATACCAAAACACGCATCTTTTTCTTCGCCATCAACATTCGACAGCCGGAGTTCTTGTGGCAAAGGTTACACGGAGCGAATTTTTTACAACATGGGAACTTCAGAAGGCACAGATGCTGATAATGTTCACACTGCCGATTAGAAGCTGCAGCACCAGCTGAGTTTTGCGACCTGTCACTCTCAATGCCCTTCGAGATCATTTCTTCGCTCTGATTCCTTTCCTTTTGTCTGTTTTGAAATCGTTCTTTCCGGGCCAAGCTTGTTTTTTCCATCCCTTTTTTACCCTTTCTTTCCACTTTTTTTTCCAAACGAGAGGTCCCTGACATTAGCATTTGCTCGAGTGTTTCTCCTCCACCGCTCGTCGGGTTGCTGACTTCTTCTCTGTCATTCCTGCGTTCCGTTTGTCTTGTTTCACTTGCCTCCCTTTCTCCTCTTTTAAGTGCTTGTTGTTCTTTCTTGGTCCGCTCTTCTTTTTTTCTTCGTTCTTTTTCCTTCATTGCCTCTTATTTTTCTTCTCTTTTTTTCAAGTTTTTTTCGAAAAGGAAACAATTTTGGGCCGCTCGTCGCCTTAGGTCAGCTAAGGAATCATCATTTGACGGAGACGAATTTTCGTTCAAGATGCCCAGTGGCCCTTGGTGAGCAATGTCCTGATCTATAAGTGTTCTTGTTTCCCATGTCAGATTTCTGTTCATGGCAGCTTGTGGTGGAGCGGAGATTTCCATTTCAGGGGGGACCAGGCCTCGTGTAATTGAAGTAGTATTAAATAAAAATGCAGGATTTCCATTCATCACTTTAAATCAGAGTTTCTCTACCGTTTTAATTCAGGATAATCGTTAATTCACGATAATCGTTATTTTGTTCGCTATTGTGACTGCCCCCTTGAAGTGCCTTGCGACATCTTTAAAGACTGAAATATTGCCAATATTTATTTACTTAAACAAACTGGCCCTGTTTGAAACAGCTCATAGATTTATGACGCATAAAAATGAGCATTCCGAGCGGGTAAAATGAGTCTATATCGTCTGCGGCTGTTTCCCTTTCGGCCGAAGTCTTCCCAACTAACTCTCAAGCCTCAACTTTGTTTGCATTGTCTGCACTGAACATGAGACCTTGCAATGTTGAGTCTTTAGAGTCCACGAACAACACTCCTCTCTTTGCAAAAAGTTGCCAGAGCAACGGTCCAAATGAACAGGAGAATGGGGGAAGAGAACAGCGTGAATTGGAAAGGGAACAACTTTAAACGGACTAGGACAGAAGGGAAAGAGAGATTAAAATGAGAAGAAATAGAGAAAATGTAGAAAGAGAGAGAAGGGAAATAGAAAATAAAAAAATACTCAACCGTTTTAATGCTAACTAGAGGCTCGAAGAGCGTTCACACGGACTTCGTATCGAGCGTTTTACCTGAGCATTCACCACTGTATAGTTTGGTATAATTGACTCTAAGCACATCTCGCACACTGGGGCTCTACATTTATTTTTTCTAGTAAGGATAGTTCTGTGGTTGTTTCATCCACATACATTTTATTCACTTCAGCTTCACATGGTAATTTTCCTTTTAAGACCTTTTAATGACATGTGTTGCATATATACTGTTTTCCATCAAATGACTGTTGAATATTGAAATATGTTTGGCAAGGATACTTCTTGTTTATGCATGTTATTATTGGTTTCTTATAAAGTATTCGATTACAGACAACACATGTAGAATAAGGGTCTTTTCTTATTTTCTCTTAAACTGTTTAATACACAATTCAACCGATCTGGCTTTCACTAATTTCTCACTACGTTGGGAAAGTACCTCTTTCTTCTTTGTAGCATCCATAGTTGAATATTTTCTTTTAATCACTTCTAGAAACCTTTTTTGGACCACAGGTTCCTTGCTGTCGTACGTATGTTTTTTTCTGTGTTTTCTCACGATACGTTTCCTTTCAATTTCAGTAATTTTACATGAAAAGCAAATCAATTGTATATCATATTCCATAGTCTGACATTCCTTTCTTTTTCTTTAATAATATTATTAATTTCCTCTACTAGATTATTCACACCACGAATGTGTTTTGTCTGTTTCATTGCAGGTGAACGAATGTCTTCATATGTCAGAAGAGAAGACAATTGCTTTAGTTTTGTATCTTGATAATTGTAACAAACTGCTATATAGTTTATTGCCATTATGCATTGTTTGTTTCAAGTAATCGGGATTGCCTATTCCTTCAAATTGTGGTAAGTTAATGCATGTAAACTCATTTCAACACATTGTTGCCTGCATTTTGTCCAAATACAACAACATCCCCTTCACTATATGCATATCAAACTTTGTGTTTAATTTTTGGTAGACAATGGCACTGGATTACCTTCCTTTAACATCTTTACTGGTACTCTGCTTGGTTCACGATCATGTGTATAGCCATGGCATTCACACAAAACACGAGCATAATTATAATATACATACTTTTCACGACGAGATCTGAATTGTTGTACTTTTATTGACACCGTAACATCATTATCTTCTTGTACATTAGTCATGTTGACAACTTTCTCTATTAGATCACAGTCATCAAGAGTATTTATCATGTCTTCTATTAAGCACATACAACTCAATGCGAAGAGCAAACCAACATTCACGATCGCTTGTACAATAATAATAGTGATAAATGTACGAGATATCAAATCGTACTTTACTAGTATTGAATCCAATAAAAACCCATAACAGAAACAGGATATTTAACGGAAGAGCTAAGCTTAGATATTTAACCTTACTATTTAAGTTGCCTCTGTTAGTATCCTTATCCAATTCGCTGTTGTTAGCGCCGTCTTCGAAGTTGTGTTCACGAACATTCTTGATTTTTCAGCAAGTGCGGTGTTCGTCTCAGCATCATAGTTGTTAATTAGGCTGTCACCGTTTTGCCAGTAATTTCGTAGTTTGAGCTCACATGTGGTATGAACTTTGTATATTTGGCTAGCTTTCAAGCTATAGAGTTCGTGGACCGGCCCATTCCGAAAACACTCGATAACATTTTGTATGTGAGATGAATATATAAGACAGGAATCTTTACAAAGCGGTTCTCACAAAACTCAGCATTCTGTAAATTATGTTGTTTAGGAAGAGCGAGTACATGATAACACAAGTTGTCGCACTCTCATCCCCAGTTTCCGCGGTTTACGCAGGGAACGCCTGGGACCATGACCCCCTTTTGGCGACCAAGAACGGCTAGCACTTTACGACTCGGGCTTTCCTACGGAAGCCCGAGTAATAAGTCTTGTGGAGTTGATAAAAAACCTGCTAGTTTACTAAAGGAGACTGCTAATGCATCTGCAGCTCCTCTGAGTATGTTCTTCAATCTTTCTGTCAAAAAGAGACGCCTGCCTAAATTGTGGAAATCAGCTGACATTACACCTAGTCATAAGGATGGTGAACGAGAGCCAGTTGAAAATTACAGAGGAGAGAGAAGTTGATGTAGTATTTATAGACTTTTCAAAAGCTTTTGACCTTGTTTGTCATGATATCCTCTTAGCCAAGCTTTGCAAATATGGTGTCGACAGAGGCTATCTCAATTGGTGTAGAGGTTATCTAACAGAGGGTCAACAGCGTGTAGTGGTGAAAGAAGAGGCTTCTGATCGATTAACCGTGACCTCTGGTGTTCCACGAAGTGCATTATTGGGACCATTTTTCTTCATAGTATATATTAATGATTTACCGGGGGGTAATTAGTAAGGACAGTTCAATTGGTCTGTAAGCTGACGACAATAAAATGTACAGGCTTAGTGGCGGATCTAGGGGAGGGGCCCAGGGAGCTCGGGCCTTCCCTTATTTTGGGTGAAAAAATAAAATCGCAGAAGGAAGAAAAGCTGACAGGGCAAGGGACAAAAAACCGGCTTTCCTTCCCCTTTTGCTCAAGGTCTGGATCTACCACTGAGGCTTATCAATACCCAAGAAGACCTGACTACTTTTCAAAGTGACACAGATAAAATATCAGAATGGTGTAATATGAATAAGATGACAATGCAAATGACTAGAGAAGAGTCACCTTTAATTGGGGAATACAATATGGAAGGTCAACCTTTGGAAAGTATTACTGTGTATAAAGATTTAGGATTGTTTACTACTTGTGATCTTTCACGGAACCAACATGTGGATAAAATAACTAAGGCTAATAGGGTTTTAGGGCTGTTCAAAAGGACTTGTAGAGACTTAAATGACATTGATACTATGAAAACACTTTACTATTATACTCATGTGAGACCTTTATTATAATATTCATGCAAAACTTGACACCCACATACTAATTGCAACATTGATAAACAAGAGGCTGTCCAGCGAAGAGCCACCAGATGGATCACTAAGTCTGATGATCATTATGATACAAGATTATCTAAGTTAAAATTGCTTTCATTATCTAGAAGGAGGTTCATAAGAGATGTTACAGTTTTTTCAATGTAATTAATAAGTGGACATTATAATATAGCTATTTCAAACAAGCTCCTATTTTGTAAGGACAGAAATATAAATTGTAACTTGAGAAAAAATGACACACAAGACCTTGCTCCGAATTTTAGAAGAACTAATGGTTTTAAATGTAGCTTTTTTAGCCAAGTTCTTTATAAACAGGGTAGTTTACCTAATAATACTTGAGAATCAAATACAGTATTGCAGCCTTTAAAGGAACGTTTTAATTTTATTTTTATATTTCTATGTACTTTTATTACATGGTGCGTCACTGCTTTTGGTTGTCTCCTTTATTGTAGTGATAATTTACTTAAGTTTATTTTCTACTTGTTATATATTTGAGTGAATCTGTAATAAAACTAGACATTACACCACTCTTCTATTTCTAGTCCAAATGTTACTTTTAGCCCTGCGATTTTCTCGACGAACGTAGAAAGCGAAGTTAGCAAAACAGACGAAATTTTATTGTCTATACTCTATGTATACACTGTGCACTGTTCGATCGAGAGGTAGCAATGTTCTAATTTGGTGGTAAACCATTTTGTACAACTATTGTTTACTACGATCGTGATTTCTCCTCAAGAAACTTTTATCGAAGATGGTGTGAGGCTGAGCCATGTTTAAATGAACGAGCATATCGTCAATGATGTTAACCCTTAACATACCACGGGTATGTTATTTTTTTTGGAGAAACCCGAGTGATGTTTACAAAATCAGTTGTAGATCAATTTCTTTTTAATAAAGCCCCATATGACCATATATGTTCATAACCAGTAGAAAATTTTCTATCAATTTGTTTAACTTATTATGGGATACACATCATATGATGACGTCACGGCATGCATAATTAGCATAATTATTGGAAGTTTCAAGAAGGACTAATTGAAAGAATCCTGTAACAAATAAATTTCAGAATTATTGCTTTTTCTCAAAAAATCATGACCTTCACACATTAAAAATATCATTTTAAGGGTTAAAAACACTTCTCTGCACACAAATTTGACCCATTAAGATTATTGTAAGGGCATGAATTATCTTATTAGTAACAAAATCTAATCTTGAGAAAGTCTTAGAGTAAGTCACTTTTATTGTCTCATATATCACTTTGCCTTTGTTATTTCTTTTCAATTATCAAATTTGTCTATGTATGTTCAATTTTGGAGAACTCTTCCTCTTCCTCTGGTGCGAGGCCTCCCTCTTCCTTCTTTCAGACATCTGGGACCTTCATGATCTTAATCATTGAAATAGAAGTCTCTCAATGTGTGATACCTGAGGAAACAGGGCTCCAGACACATGCATACTCCACACACTGCACAGCTATAAAAGGTACCTACATGCTGTAAGTGAACCTTGCAAGTAGATCTTTTGTTGTTGCTTACCAGCTGGTGAAAGTGTTCTTGATTAAATCTAATTTCAGAAGTGGGTGGTGGCCGCATTTGAGTGTCCCTTCTAAAGGACTTTTCAAGTGACTTATCAAGGACTTTCTGAGGTCTAAAGCAGTTCTAGTGGTATATAAATGTGTGCATTTGAAACACACACTTCTATGATATAGAAAAAAATCTTATAATACCACACAGCATTAGCCTTGCATATGAGCTGACTTTTAATAATTGTTAATAATTCCCATACACAAATAAATGGCAACCCAACCTTTCATTTCTTCCACAGACACTGGATACCACACAGACTTTTCTGCAGCTCCTCGTTTCTGATTTGCATACAGATTAGTCTGAGCAACTAACAACTCCCATACCTGAGCAGTGAAGAACAGATCAAAAAACCCTTTGCTTGATGCCAAAGATCTAATGTTTACATTTGCTGCCAATCCCACGAGTTCACTGAAAACAATATCATCCCTTCTCGTTATTTCTTCGCTCTATGCCGATACTTCTTCTTCCTCCTCTGGGTCTTCATCTTGTTCACTTTCCAGTTCTTCTGAATCATCCCCACTAGATTCTGCCAAATCATCGGAGTCAATCTCTTCTTCTGACTCGGGATGCTCCAAAACACTGATAAAAGCCAAAGGTAAATTGTCTTCGTCGATAAATTCGATTTCCACATCGTTTTCATCGCTTCCAGTCGCACAGAATGCTTCAGGAGATATTTCGCACGCCGCCATTTTTAAAAAACCACAGACAATACTCACTCGAAATTTAAATTTCCAAATTCTTTAATACAACTCGCCAAATTGGCCATTTTCTTTCACTGCCTCAAACTATAATTTATGTTAAGTCATTTGAAATGAAACACCAGTGCCCAAGCCCCAATAATTCACCACAATTGCGCGTTAAAATCACGTCGTATATTTCTACGCATATATGCGTAGTTGGTAGTCCTATAGCCCTTCCAAACTGCGTTTCTTCATCTGGTTGATGTAGGCACCAGCATTGGATAGCGGGCTACGAATAATTTGACGAACATTTGAAGAACCGGCTCGGTTTTGGCTCGGTTCATGTGGACTTCCCGGTTAATTAGACTTTCATATTTAAACGGGGAAGTCCCGCGGATGTTTTTGTGGGTATAACAGAGCGGAAGACCTACTTATTCAATGGGATCAGCTTTCATTAAATATTTTGTAGGATTCCTTTTTCGCTTATGTTTTTTGATCTCTTTTATAGAAAGATAAAGTTTAACAGAAGACACACTTTAAGACTTCACTTCATTTTGACGTCACGGATTTTTCGGTAATTTCTCTGCAACGGTGAATTCGAATTAATTCGTGCAAGGCATGCATTTTCTCGCGTTTACCGCCGCTCGGTTAATCACTGTTCTTCAAATTCGACCCAATGGATTTCACTTCCTAGACTCAGCCATACTGAAGGTTCTAAAAACATTTTGTCCCATTTCCCTCTCAGAGGCGGCGGCCAGACAAGATAAGTACTCTTTTAATCATTCTCAACAAGTTTATCGGTACACAGTGATGTTAGCAGTACAATTTATTCAGAGTCCACAGTGGAACCTGACAACAATCATGTTTTTCAGCCTTTGAGTCTTGCACTATTATTTTACTTTACATATTTTTTCTCTCGAAAGCCAAAAAGAAGCAAAACTTAAACGCTTAGAACATCAAAAATGATACTTTGAATTGGTAGGATGACTGTCTGAAAAAATTATATACACAAACTATAACCAGAAAACTGATTTATACATATATATTCCAATGACTAAACTTCTATATCAAGCATTTTGCAAAAATGAGTGTAAAGGTTTGAAGGACAAATAATTATGTGAACTTCATGAACCTAGGGAATCAAGGCGAACATTCTGAGAGTGCCACCTCACATTAAATCTTGTGCCGACATCAGATCGATTTGAAACACTTCTAATATTTGAAACTGCAATTGAAGAACAAATTCAATTGACTAAAAGTACCACTAGCTGCACTTCAAACAAAGATGCTTTTGTGGGCATAACTTAGCGGAAGACCTACTTCTGCAATGGAATCAGCTTTCATTTAATGTTTTGTAGGATTATTTTTTCGCTTATGTTTTGTGATCTCTTTTACCAAAAGATAAAGTTTAACAGAAGACACACTTTGAGAAAAACCAGTCCAATTCGACCGGTTTTAATTGGTTTTGAAGTTTTCATCACTCAGAAAACTTGCGATAACCTCCAAACAATCTCGGAGGTTTGTTAGCTCAGTTCGTAGAGCTTTGCACCGGTATCGCAAAGGTCATGATTTTTTTTAAAGCCTTATTTCAACTACTAGTTCAGTAATGTTCATAACTACGAGGTTCGATTCTATATTCGTTTCTTCAACCGCAGTGCACACATGATTTTCATATGTTGAAAGCCATAAATCTCAGAGGTCTTGACAGATTAGGCAGATCGATAGTGCCAGCAGTCTTTTACGTCTGTCTGTCTATCTGTCTTTCCGGTGGTAAAGTTTCATTTTCCGCTTTTGTGATCTAAGGGTTAACAGAAGACATACTTTTAGAAACCACAATATCCTGTTGTCGTATGACGTTAATCCATCGTCATTGACGCCAGGAGGTCCTGTCCCATCGGTTTACGGTTTCAGGGGACGAGATAATTTCCTGGGGTGGCGCGAGTTGTTTGCGAACCTATATGAGCCAAGATCTCGCATTTGATTTTTGAAGGAATATAACCACTTTGAGCAAATTAATAGGGTATGGAGATTTGAACGATTTTCGTCAGATTTCACCAAAACATTCCAGGAATAATGACAAACGAAGGTGTGTCGGGAAATTTTGATATTTGAAACTGATAGCACCCTTTGAATTCCATTTGAACGAACGAAACGGCTCATGAAAACCACAAGCAATTAGTATACATTGAATTTCCGCATTTAACGTCAGTTGTCGCTTGTCGCTGAATAGAAAGGTACTCTAGCTTTTCGTCCGCTACTTTGGTAAGGATGACTGCCAGCCTTAATCAAGGCAATGAAGACTTCAAGTCCCATGTCTTTATTATCAACGGAGGCATACTACTCTTTTTCGCGTTGTTGATATCGATCTCCAATGGCATCCTCCTGTTCATAATCTACAAAGACCCGCTGAGGAAATTTCGCAACGCCACCGCAGTTCTTGTGGTCTCTCTGGGCATGGCAGACTTTCTAACGGGATGTGTAACCGCCGTGGACGTTGGAATAGCACATATTCTGGAAGGAATGGAAGTGGGAAAAGTTATGCTTCAGGCCAAGATCGTTTCGCAGATAACCGTGCGCGCGAGTGTTTGTATCATGATCATTTTTGCGGTTGAACGGTTCATAGCTATTGCCTTCCCGTACGTTTATCGTAACTCCCTGACCATCCCAAAAACCATCCTCTGTTGTGTGCTGTGTTGGATGTTAGCCATTGTTACAAGCTGTCTGGAGCTGGTAGTGGAGCGAGATTTGTACGATGTTGTGTTTCTTTACCTCATTTTTGTCCTACCACTTCTCACGATTATTTTTACATACTCGGCTGCTTATTTTATAGTGCAATATCGACATGGAAGACTTTACAAAAAAGAAAAAAAATCCAGGCGATCGGCTGAGATGCAGAAGCAACTGATGACGACTGCCTGTCTGATAATTCTTGTCTTCTTCGTTTCTCTTGTTCCGTTTTGGTTATTCACCACCATCCGGCGTTATTGCAAAGAGTGTGTTCATCAAAAATGGTGCATTGCAGGTTATCGACTGTCCATCCCGATTCTGTACAGTAACTCTGCCCTAAACCCGTTGTTGTATGCCTGGAGAATGCGGCCATACCGTCAAAGCTTTCAAGCCTTATTTCTCAGAAAACAAAATAGTGTAAGGGGAACAAGTCAAAACGAATTTCCTCCAGACGAAGGCAACGAAACTATACTGGTCGATGAATTTTGCGAAGAGACTAAATTCTAGATAAAACTTTAAGGAGGAAATTTATAATATAAATTATATCTAATCACTGTTTACCAAAGATAAAATATGTTCATTTTTATGGACAAATTACTGCCTTTCCATAAAGTCAACACAAAGAAAGCTCCCACTCACTGTAGAAAAACTCATCACAAATACCGGTCACCTGAATATGTTTTGTGTTATTGTAGAATTCTGCTATGATGCATGTCATTTAGCAATTTCAGGTATAACCTACTCTAATAACTTTGCAGAATACACAGCGCTCTGTGTCCAATCGTCGGTTGCAAAGGTTATCGACATATTTGTCGGCACCACAACCTTTTCGCTTGAGTAGCGTTATCAATGCTTTGTAATCAAGAGTAACTGTCACAAGAAGATAATATCAAGTTGAAGTTTAAATAGCTATACCACAGATCTCAAATGGTAGACTTTATATTAAACACCACTTTCCTAGATATTTTTTAACACTGCCAAGCATAAAATAGATTCAATAATACTATAACATGGCTAGACATGTAACATAAAAACATTGCAAAAAAAATAATAATAAGGTAAAAAAATATAAAGAGTCAAGATTGGAAGACATAAATAACCTGTAAATTTAACTTTAAAGCATCTTCCATCAACCACTATTCCAGTTTTCTTGATGGCATCCTTCTGGCGATTTAGATCTTTTATTAGGGCCTCCACAGTTTCCCTACAGAACAAAAAAATGTGACATTGTAAAATTCCTAAAAAAATTGTTGCAACTCACTAGTTTTCCTTGTCTTCTAGGCATGAGGTGACTTGCTCAAAAATTAATTAATTAATTAAAATTAATAATCACAACAAAATATAAGGCAGCAAATACACTTTTTCCAATCTTAATAAAAATATAATCGTTATGACTTAAGTCGGTTCGTCCTAACTTGGAAATGCTACGTAACGTTTGCCAGGCTTGGTCCGGGATCCTCGACTGCAGTTTGAAATACAGAGGGGTCCAGTCTGGTACTCTGAGAGATTGCAAAAACTGAGGGCCACTGTCTCCCAGCATTGTTTCCAACGCTTGCAGCGAGCTGCTGCTGTTAATTCTAATTTTCTAGGCGATGTCACTGAGCATTCGCCCCACCTCAGGACTGTGGACCTGACTTGCGCCTACATCAGCGAGATGGACCTGAAATCTGTCGCAAACATTGCTGATCGATGTCCACACATCCTTGGTGACCTTCTCATCCTTCTCCTTAATTTTGTTTAACTCTGATGTTTGTCTAACTTGACTGATTTTTTAAATCTCTTCTAATAGGGATTCTAGCTGACTCTGCGCTTAATGAGCTCAGCTTTTAGTCGATCATTTTTAATTCCGATAGCTGCGGAGGTATCATGAGCATCTTTCAGCTCCTCACGAAAGTCCTCACTTGGTCGAGTCCTGCTAGCCTTAGTTAAAGTGAATTTATTTTATCGATCAACCAACGATATTTCGCCAATTCTCCTTCTTTGAATTTCTACCGGAGGATGGCAGAAACAACTCCAAATAGAGAGGCGATGGCCACTGCTTTGTTCTGAACATATCGGCCATCCAAGCTCCCACCATTTTTCAAATCCGATAGCTGGACCGTAAAAAACTCGCTTGGAAAATGTGCCACTAACGGGCAACTTGAAAAAAATTTGCTGACCCTTAAGTCACATACCTTGAAACTTAAGATAAACCATTGCTTTGCCTCATCTGTAGAAGGAGAGTGCAGCAATTCAACCCTTCGAAGTTCGAAGGGATGCATAAGTGCACTCGACCGTGGGAAACTAAACTTTCCCGCTTTTGCCTAAGCGTATTAACATCAAATCCAATCTCGAAATGTCAATAGGCCGATCCAGCCCCTTAAAAAAAACATGCAGGAATAGAGATATTGTACAAAATAAAGCAATTACTCAGATTACTGTAAGCAGACATAGTTTGATGCTACTCTGGTTTACAGATTTAATGAATGTAACCGAAGAAGTTACAATTCATAGACCCAACGTTCCGACACTCCTGTCTAGTGCCTTCATTAGGGGTGATCTAAACGCTGCAACAAGAGGTCCTTTTATACGATCACTAATTAGCTGCCTTTTTTCTGACGAGGTGTTAATTGGCGTCAGGAAGTAAGCCGCCATCATCACGATTTAAAGGAGCGTGGGCGGAGTTAATATGCCAATCAATGGTGCTGGTGGTAACACCGATTAGTGGTGATAATTTTACACTTATCCCATTCAATTGTGTGGTTAGTTAGGCATGTGTACTCCGATAAACCTGGATTTTCTTTTTTGAAAAAGAAAACCGCTTCTTGATGCTCTTTCAAACGTATCCCAAACTGACGTTTGGTCTGTCCGATGTATTCGTTGTCACAGTCTTTGCAAAGGAACTGTAAGCAATTATCAATACAAGCTGTCAAGGCGATGATGGAACGTAGCCGGTTTATGACGTCACACCATACCAACCAGCTCAAATATTTGAACTTCCGTTTACCTGAGGCTCGTGATGAGTTGTCTCGTTGCGTCCATTTACGCAACACGCCTCCCATATTTTTAGCTACTCCAATTTTAGATGCAGATATCTTATCTAAAAAAGCCTGACACTATTTATTGACTGATGCCTTGAGAATAAGACTATGCAGCCATATTGCTCGTGCTGCGGCATTCGATACCCGATAAATTCAGTTGAAGAACCTTCGGTCGTTTCACGCCTTACCGGCTCCTGACACTTCCTTAAAGAAAAGTCGCCTAAATTATATTTTTATCGTAAACTGCATTTATTAAGCTTTCTTTTGATGCATAGTTTGCTAGGATTTTAGTGGAACTAGCGCGCAAAGGAATTTTTTTCCCGAAGGATGCCCGCGAAGGTGGTCAGGTTCTCGACGAGAGCCCTCAACATCTAAAATGCCTTTGTTTGTGTCGAACACCTACAAAAAATTGACAAAAATTTTAGGTTTATGCTTCTTTTAATAAGGCAAGAAAACTACCAACTTCCCCGGAATATCGACCGAATGCTTTCGGTTGAGAAAAACCAATTCCCTCTTTCCGTGAAATGTTATTCATATCTATTTAAACTGATTTTTTTTACATGTATTGTGCTTGGCCTAATTTTCGAGTGTTTTCCACGGAGACTTCATATTAATTTTAGTTACTATTGTTTTCCTAGTTTTTTCACTTCATTGAAGGATACGAGGCCTTACGGTTAAAAAAAGAAAAAAGAAGGGAATGAAGAACGAAATCGAAAGTTTTAAGAAATGGTTACCGAAGAAATTCTCATCGACTTTACAGTAATAACCTATTTCTCATCCTTATATCGCCTTTAGCCCTCCGCTTTGCACCACCAGCGAAGAATTCGAATTTAGCGAGACAACTTTCGAATTAAGCGAGACCACGCGGTATTAGTAATTCCCTAAGGGAGTTTTCGGTCTCACTCTTTAGATTGCTTCAAAAACTTTCGAAAAGTCGCACACTTTCTTTTTACTTACTTTCTTACTTTTTAACTTACTTACGTGCTTATTTGCTTGCTTACTTACTAACATATTTACTTACGGAGATAATAGCGTAATGGTTACGGTTTTATAACAGGCCACTCACCACAAATAATAAACATCCAAAATCGCATGATTTTCACCCCAACATAAACCAACAAGCCTGACATTTTCAGCAATGCACCGCAATTTCTTTGTTTGCACGGTTTAAGCAACCAGAAAAAGTTTCCCCAAAAAAATTATATTGATATCAGAAAATAAAGAATTATATAACTCTCAATGAGTTGTTGCAGTATTGTACACCCTCTAATCTGGAAATCTCTTGTTGTTTATTAATTTTTTTTTTTGGATAAGTACATGAGTAAAGTTTTCTTTTTTTGATTCGATCACAAGCATGGGACAAAGAAAAACGCCAAGTCATGAAGAGTCGAAACTGAGACCTTCGCGCCCTGATGCTCTGCAACTGAGCTGTTAAGACTCCAAGATGAGCTAAGTCGCTACTTTATACTGCTAGGATCAACAATGTCGATGAATCTTCAGCTGGGTAGTAAAATGAAGAAAGATGTTTTTCGCCTCCAGTGTTACGAGAGTGGACGAAGAAACAAAATTGGACCCAACATCTTTCTTACAATATTAAATCACACGAAGCTTTCGACACTGTTGCTCCTAGAAGACTGCGGGATGTGTGTCACATATAAGTTCAGTAACAGCCTGACTAAGCTGACTGTAAGCCAAGTGATAGAGCGTCTGAGCGTGGCCTGACCCGAAGATTTATCTCATGAGCCCCTCAATTTCTATTTCTTAACTCTCAGAGCCAGTTTGGAACTTCGGATGACTTAGATATAAATTTTGAGGAGTTTATGGTCCCCTTTACCGCAAGCATGGCTTTATGCCCACAATACTATTTCCATTTTACGACGACCACGTGACTGAAAGGTTCAATTCAAGAATACGGTGGAACTCGTAAATTTATTTGAGATTACAGCTTTTTAAAAAAAATCATGAACAAGAAAATAACTGAAAGCATGCGGTATTCTTCATAAAGCTAATTTATAGGATCGTTCGTTACTCATAGTTTTGTGCTGTATAGGATGATTCAATTCAGCACCCAACCCAAAATAAGCGACGAAATCACGCTGAATTTCTCATCGTTTCTCATAAACGCGAAGTTGTACACTGGTAAAAGCAAAATTTTACGTTCTAGTTTACAAATGTAGTCTTCTTGATTGCTCAGGAGCCCATTTATTGAAAGTTCCGGTAGTCATTGGTCCGAAAATGCCGTTTCTCAGATATCGATAGCTTTGAAATTCAAACAATAAAAAATTTATGAAAACGAAACAGAACGGGCTGGGTTTTTAGCGAATACCCACCATACTACTCCTTAGATTAATATCTTAGAATATAACCCGCGAAGTTGCCAAAATTTGCGAGGAAAGAGCCCCTTGGGATATATCGAATCATTTTAGAATATATGCAGTGTTGTATAGTAATACGTTTAGAATAATCGACGATATTAGTTCTGTTCTCTCCTTGTTTGTTTGCTTTTTTTTTCGCTAGAGTATCTTTCATTACCGAAGCAACTCAATATCCTGGATACATATACCTAAGGAAATCTTAAGCCAGGCTTTCTATACGCGAAGTTTGAGATCAGCATCGACTTATTTAATTTACCTCTCTAAATTCTGGGTTGTCGATAAAAAGCTCAATATTTTACAACTAGCGATAACGTTTTGATAGTTTGATTCTGGAGACTTACATATCACCTGCACCTCAAACACCTAAACCTAATACATTTCTTCGAATTCTAAATGTCACACTTATGTAAAAACGTACCGATCAATGAAACAAAAAAAGATAGTACAATATATAGTTTAAACTTGGGGCAAGATATGATTGTGTAGTCTGATCGTCTGGGCGTGAGAAGCTCTGAGTAGGTAGTGCCTTCTTACCAGGACAATCAGACAACTTCATTGAATTTAAGTACTAAAGCTGTTATAAAATTTATGCTTAAAGGTCAAAAAACTCTGAAAACCTAGCAATTATCTAGAAGAAATTTAAAAAATCATCCCTTCAGCTCCATTCGCAGAGTCCTCTTCATTTCATCAACGAGGCGAGAAGAGAAGGGCCTGGGATGGACGTTGTCATTCACTTGTTGCCATTTATCTAACTGTATAGAGGATGGCGACAAATTGGGCAGCTACGACTGCAAATGTAAAGGAAATATTTCGGGCGAATGGAACTTAAACTTGTTTGAATTAAACGCGAGAACATTCAAGTCGATATTACCGTAAAATCACGGGTAAAACTATAAGAGACTGCAAAACTCCTAATCGACCCAGTATTGCTGTGGATTCAGAACTGTTCCAAGGCTGCATGCAAAGAGAGCTTTTCTCTCGAGTGTCGTTAGACCAAGACCCAGCTACTCACAACAGCCAGTCAGAAGCTAACATCAAAAATCAATGAAAGATTCATTTGAAACAAAGACAAGTTCCTTCAAAGGAAAGAAGACGCAAAAAACAATGCTTGATTTTGACGCTCCAGTTCACGCAGCTAGAAGTCG